CCTCTCAGAAATATTGTTTTGTGATAATCCCAATTTTGTGATAGAAATGCTCATAAACAAAATAACCGAGTCATTACAAGATAACACTACTGAAATTCAAGTACCCAAAAGCAAACGTGTCATGAAACCTTGGATCACTCCTGGAATTTTACGCTGTATTAGGAATAGAAATAAAATGCAGAAAAATCTTCGTGTGGATCCCTATAATGAAATTCTAAAAATAAGCTATAAAAGATATCGAAATTATTGTAATAATTTACTTAAAAAATTAAAACGCAAATATGAAACACAGCAACTAGCACTTTCATCAAAAAACTCGAAGAATCTTTGGAACAACATAAAAATAATAGCCCATTTACATAGCTCAAATACCGATAATTCAATTTTGTTAAATATAAAGCCATCCCCTAAGGAATCAGTTAATTATATCAATAACTTTTTTGCTAACACGGGCAAGTCTCTAGCGGATAATGTTTTAAAAATTAATACAAAAACAAATAATCATTTAGACACTAATCGTACACAGTCTAAATCGTTTGTGCTTTTAGACACTGATATAACAGAGGTACATGATATACTTATGAGCCTCAAATCAGACAGTGCACCCGGATATGATAATATTCCAACAAAATTCCTCAAGCTTGCTAAAAATGAAGTGGTCCCTATTATTTGTCATTTAGTTAATATTTGTTTTAAGCAGGGTATTTTCCCGTCATTATTAAAACAAGCCATAATAACTCCAGTACACAAAAATGGGAGCAGATACGATGTTAATAATTACAGGCCTATTTATGTTATTTCCTCTATCTCAAAAGTAATAGAAAAACTAACAAATAAACGACTAGTACAATACATAAATAAATTTAACGTACTGTCTGACATGCAATTTGGTTTTAGACAAGAAAAATCTACAGAAGACGCTATAACAGCTCTTACTTCCCTAATTGTTGACATACTAGATCAAGGAAAGAAAACCCTAGCCGTTTTTCTAGATCTTAAAAAGGCCTTTGGCACTGTCTCTATTCCTATATTAATACAAAAACTGGAAACAATTGGCATCGTAGGTACACTACTCAACTTATTCTAGGATTATTTGTCTGAAAGAAAACAAAAAGTCAAAATTGGACAGTGTGTTAGCGATGACTCCTTTGTTACCTACGGTGGGACACCAGTGACAAGGCAGTGTACTAGGCCCTACCTTGTTTCTTGTTTATATTAACAATTTATGCAACCTAGAAATAGATGGAGCTCAAATTTTTTCATACGCGGATGATACGGTTGTTGTATTTCAAGATACAACTTAGGAAGCAGTTCGCAAAAGCACTGAACTGGGACTGGCTGAAATAGCCTCCTGGCTTAGGACCAATTCGCTTACCTTTAATGACCAAAAAACTAACTACGTATGCTTTACCATCAATAACCGGACTCAGCCACAAAATGATCTTAATATAAAAATTCATTAATGTAAAAACGTTATTGATACTGATTGCACTTGTCCAACCATAAACAAAGTATCGGCTATTAAGTATTTAGGTAGGTATAAATATAGACCAACGTTTGACGTGGCACAACCAAATAGAGCATCTTATGGGCAGGGTCAGAAAGCTAATTTGGATTTTTAAGCAACTTAGACATATAGCATCAAAAAATATACTAACTAAAGTATACACTGCATTGGTACAATCTTTACTGACATATTGCATTCCTATATGGGGTGGCACGTCCAAAACCAAATTCATGGAAGTGGAAAGGGCTAAAAGAGCATTATTCAAAGTAAGGTTTTTCAAACCGTACAGACTTTGTACAGAAAAATTATATAATATATGTGAGCTACTTACAGGAAGAAAATTATATATTTTATAAACCGTTTTAACAACACATCGTAGTCTGAATTATAATTCGAACATTTTGCAAAGAAGAGGAGGTACTGTAATAGTAACACAGAAAGTAAACACAAAATTTGCTTCTCATCAATATAAAAAGCAATCAGTTTTTATATACAATAAAATAAACAAAATTCTCAATATATATAAATTGAATAGATATAATTGTAAACAGTTGTTGACAAAATGGTTAAAACAATTAGACTATGATAAAACAGAGGCTATCTTACAATGCATTATTTAGACACTACAATATTAGTAAGCAAATACACATAAATACACACATAAAACACACACACACACACACACATACACACACAAAACCACACACACACACACACACACACACACACACACACACACACACACACACACACACACACACACACACAAGTTTCTTTAATAGTTTATATCTTACGGATTAAGTTGATCACTATTTGTATTAAGGCTATGGAAGAGCGGGATCTTCTGGCACAGGTGTTTTTACACTTAAAAGAAGATTTCCAACAATCTCAAGATCATTGTGAAAAATTTTTAGTTGATCAATAAAGATTTATTATTATTATTATTGTGGGGGTATCTATATAGTTTTCTCATCTGGTTGGGTTCTATATATAATTATAAATGAAAATGAAAAGATAAATACACATAAATATCAATAACATAAAATAAATATAAAAAATACATAAATAAATAAAAGCCCAACCAGATGGAGGCCCTCGGCAGGGGAGACCAAACGGCCGAGGGTTAGGAGGAAAGGGAAAAAAACCGGCGGACGATGCGGGTGGTATCGAGGAGCACCGCCTTCTGCATTTGAGCCCGGAGCGGTCCGCCACGTAGTCCCAGTCGCTTCAGATGACTAGAGAGGCTGACTGGGATTAGCCCGTTTGCAGAGACGACTACAGGAATAATCGGTCGGCAGACCACCCCACATGTCGGTCACCTCGTGAGCCAGGTCCAGATATTTTGTTTGCTTGTCTGTTTCGGCTTTCACGAGGTTCTCGTCATACGGAATGGTAATGTCGACCAAAAATATCCTTGACTGTGCCCGGTCCATCAGCACAATATCAGGCTTATTCGCAAGAATAGTCCTGTCTGTGATGATGGCCCGGTCCCAATAGAGCTTGGCGCGATCATTTTCGAGCACGGCTTCCGGCAAGTACTTGTAATACGGCAATTTCCGATCCACGAGACCGTATTTCAGAGCGAGCTCCTGGTGAAGAATTCTGGCTACTAGGTTGTGCCTGTGCAAGTACTCAGAGTTAGAAAGCGCCGAACAACCGGAGATGACATGCCTAAGTGACTCACCGAGATGGCAACAAGCTCGACAGACGTCGACGGTGCCATCCTTTAGGATGTATGTCCGATAGTTGTTGGTCTTAATAACCTGATCCTGTATTGCACAGACAAAACCCTCGGTTTCCCCGAAGAGATCACCAAAGCGTAGCCAGTGGAGGGAGGCTACTGTGTCTACGAAAGGCTCATGTAGAGCCTTGTAGAACCTCCCGTGGAGCTCCTTCTCCTTCCATATGGTCTCCCTGTCGGAAATGCTAAGCACTGCTCGGTCCTGCCATTGCTCGTTGGCTAATGATAGAGGGGTAAGTCCTTTATCACTAGAAATGACGTCATTATAGAATGGATCATCCGATCTCGCCAGGAGGTAATCACGGAGGCTGCACACTTCGCGATTATGCATGGTGAGCGCGCTCAGAAAACCACGTCCACCATGCTTTCGCGGCAAGTACAGCCTCATTACCGACGATCTCGGATGATGCATCCTATGGGACGTCATGGTAGTGCGGACTTTTCTATCCAGGGCGTTAAGTTCAGTCTGGGTCCACCTGAGTATGCCAAAGGTATACATGAGGACAGACATGACCCAACCGTTATATGCGTGTGTCTTATTCACACCGGACAAAAGGCTGTTAAGCACTTTGGTCAAGCGTGCATAAAACACGTCGCAAACTGACTGTTTCATACCAGCCTCATCGATAACGATGTTCTGTGACATACCCAGGTATCGGTATGTTTCAGCCTCGGAAATGGTCCTTAAGTTGACGGGCATAGATAAGTCTATGCCCTCAGAGTTAGCAACCCTTCTCCTTTCAACATGGAGGACCGCACACTTATCCGTTCCCAGCTCCATTCCAATAGAACTGCTAAATTCACTAGTGATGTTTAGCAATTCCATAAAATGGGAGCGACTGGAGGCGAATAACTTGAGATCATCCATATAGAAAAGGTGGGTCACTTTTGTCCCTCCTTTCCGTAGCTGAAATCGCCTCACGGAGCCCTCCAGTAAAGTACTGAGAGGGTTCAGGGAGAGGCAAAACCAGATTGGACTCAGACAATCGCCCTGGAAGATACCGCTTCTTATCCTTATGTGGTTCTCTGCAGCCATCATCCGCTCGCCCAGATAGCAAAGTATCGTCCCCATTGCCCCATACACTGCTCGAGGAAGTCTCCAACTGTACAGTCAATCTTGTACAGCTGGAGGACTCTCTTTAGCCATGTATGGGGCACCGAGTCGAATGCCTTTCTGTAGTCTATCCAGGCGGCGGAGAAATTCCGACGGTTGCGTTTCACCACTTTGCCAATGACCGCGTCAATGAGGAGTGGTTCCTTGGTTTCACGACCACCGCCCCGACATCCATTTTGAGCGCGTGACATCACCTGATTTAGCTCCAGGTGACGAGTGATTCTCGCGCTCAAAATGGATGTCAGTGTCTTATATATGGTGGGTAGACACGTGATGGGGCGGTATTTGCTCGGGTCTGTGGTATCCTGATCTTTAGGAACCAAATGAGTGATCCCAGTAGTGAAGAGGCTCGGGAGCGACTTCTGATCGAGAGCCTCTTGAAACTGTCGGGCGAGCGCAGCGTGACACACTACGAACCCCTTCAGCCAGTAGTGATGCAGCCCGTCGAGCCCCGGACTTTTCCAGTTCGGGGCCCTACGGACCGCCTCAGCCACGTCTTCAGGCGTTATGGTGACGGGGTCCATGGGCGTAACACTCGCACTCTGACTCTCCACAACTTCCGTCCAAGGGCCCTCGCTGTGGTTTACGGGCTCTGACCACAGGCCACGCCAAAATGCGACAGTGTCGGCCTGATCCGGTCATGGGCCCGCTCCACATACCTCTGGTCGCTCCAATGATTTATAGAGCCTCTTCTGATCACTCTGGAAGAGACGATTCTGGTTAAACCGTGTCGACCTCTCGGTATATCGCCGAATCCGCTTTCCCCAAGCAGCGATTCTCTGCTTCAGGTCGTCTATGCGCTCCGTCAGTTTTTGAATTATATCCGGCTGGGACAAACTAACATTTGTCCCAGCAAATGCCATCCTGACGGTGCGCACAATCCTTGGCCTGTTATTGCCTGACCTGAAGCATATCAGTCTGCCGATGAGGGCCCTAGCCTTTGCGATACGTTCTTCAATTCTTATTCTCCAGGCTGGGATAGCGCTACTTTGTCCAGTAGCGCGTCCAGCCGTGGAAAGTTTGGCGCCTATAATACGGCACACTGCCACTGCGGCGCCAAAAAGAATTGAGTCCGTCTCGCAAAGGTCCTGGCTGGCTTCCAAATAGGTCACCAGCATTGGGTTAAGAGCCCGCACGACAGCCCGATTTTGCTTGCTAAGGGGTATGCGTGGAGGTCGCGGTCGATTTTCGAGAGGCGTGCTGCGCGTTTCCAGAATTGACTCTTCCAATATGCTCCTCATTTTCTCTAGTTTGTGGGAGACTATTTCATCATCGTCTGAATTAGCCACAACTGGAATGTTCACGGCAGCATCTACATATGCCGTTTGTTGCGCATCTAGTGGCGCCGCATTCCCAGCCGTAGCATTTCCATTCGATGAAGGAATAGCCTCACGTCGTAGTCGCTCGAGTTCGGCGTCACCAAATATGTTGGAGCGCAGGATGTACCGAAATCGGTCTGCCAGGTTTTGCTCAGTGACGGATAGAGATGGCTCCAGCTCTGCAAAAAAAGCGATGCATCCGAGCCCGATACGCCAAACCTCCAGTTTCTTCCCCTTTTGCCCTAAAATACGCCCGCAATGCGTTAGTGTTCATTTCGGTTGTCCATCGCATGCGGCGTACTCCACCAGTGGCGGGTGCCGATTGCTGGGCCCGCGAAGACCCTGCCGACACCAAGCCAGATGGTGGGGATGATGGATGCGAGGGGCTGATGGGTGGTCGTGCAGCACCTCTCGCTCGGCTGGCGGTTCGCATGCTGTCGCGTCCAGCGCCAGCTCCAGACGCGCCCTGGCGACCTCCAGGCAGCGGCCCTTTGCGCGTTTTTGCATATTCCATCATCCATAAAAGTGGGCGTCATTTAACGGGGAGACGACCAGACCCGGCGCCGTTTTTTGGTGGGGCCATGTGCACAAGCGAGCCTTTGCACCTTTAATTTTTGGCGAGGCACGGCACTAACACCTCTTGGCAAGGTGCTGACTGACTGCACTGACGTAGCGGTTTTGTCACATAACCGTTACGTCAGCGGGCGATGGGGTCGTCACTTCCCTACGCCTTTATTATTACATATATATATATATATATATATATATATATATATATATATATATATATATATATATATATATATATATATATATTATTATTATTACTGCTACTTGCGGTATTGCGTCTTGTGATTGATATGCGGGTGTGCTGCGCCTGATTCGACGCATTCCTGTGGTTCTGGTCGAAGGAGGTATACAATTAACATCTTAGTGCCGGTGGTAAGCGTGTTTGTTGTAGCAATACGGCTTTCCCGTGAACATCGCAAACCCATACCGTTTGTGGGCGACGTCGTAGCGCATAGCTATACGTCGTCTATCTTTCGGATTGGGATGATGAGTGTGTTTGGTAGCACTTTTAAGTGTAACAGGCATACTCAACTTCATGTCTTATTGCATTAGCGCTATGATACGTGGAGTTTTGTCCACTGACGTCTTAGTTGCGTGCTACTATGATATGTTGGTGCAGTTTTATATAACAACAATCTTAGTGCCGGTGGTAAGCGGGATTGTTGTAGCAATACGGCTTTCCCGTGGACATCGCACACCCATACCGTTTGTGGGCGACGTCGTAGCGCATAGCTATACGTCGTCTATCTTTCGGATTGGGATGATGTGTGTGTTTGGTAGCACTTTTAAGTGTAACAGGCATACTCAACTTCATGTCTTAGTGCATCAGCGCCATGATACGTGGAGTTTTGTTCATTGGCGTCTTAGTAGCGTGCTACTTCGATACGTTGGTGATATTTTTATATAACAACAATAAAAACTTTGTTACCAAAATCGATAGGGGTCATGTGGGTGTGTTGTGAGGGGGCGCCATCCGTATGATAATTGCATTGATGCTTACTGCTACTTGCGGTATTGCGTCTTGTGATGGATCTGCGGGTGTGCTGCGCCTGATTCGATGCACTCTTGTGGTTCTGGTCGATGGAGGTATGCTGGTAGTGATGCCTGCTGGGTTGTATGGGAGACCTTGGGATGGTGTAGGCCGACGATAGTCGTATTGATGCTTGTTGCGTTCTGCAGCATTGCGTCTCTGCGATGGTTGTTTGGTGGGACGCTATTCTCAATGGCGCTCTCTGCGTCTTGGTTTGACTCACGCCTAAGTAGCTTTGCCCAAGTCGGGTCCCTTGATTACGGGGCTGCAGACTGTCTTCCCCTCCATGATATTTTATATAACAACATAATAATATATCTCTGTAACTTTCCCACCTATGAATGATTGAAAGCAACTTGTTGGTGGGCGAGACAAACATGATCGGAAATGCATTTACTCAACGTCAGTGACACAAACCCTTTCTGATGGCGAATTATTACTCTTATTTTACAACTGCCTTTTTGGCTATATATGCCGTTGTATTGGTTGGTGGAGCTTATGTGTCGACCTCATTCGGGTGGTAGCTGGCGGGTGGATCTGAGAACGTGGGACCCCATTCCCTTGAGGTGAGCGGTAGACTCACGACATGCTCTGCGGCTAGTAGCCGTGGTGGTGATGCCATGCACTTACATTACGTCTGCAGGAGCGGCGGTCTGGCAGGTGGTGGCGCTCACGGAGGGTTTACGGCCAGTGTGCCTATTTGCCTAAACCGTGTGACGTACATTCACTGTGGCTGGATTCGTTCGTATTCTGTATGGCGTACACGCATTGACATGCGCGAATTCGGTCGATGTTTGTGCTTACGCACTAACAAGGGGCCAAGCCTCTTTTACCGGTTCGCCAGTTATTTTGCTGTTGACCACGGTCCAGTTCCCGAATTAGCGTTCCCTTCGGGGGGAGTGCATCAAAATAGTTGGCGCTCACCGTGCACGGCGTGTGTGTGTGCATGGGAGCCGTGTGCCTCCCCCTACATTTTTTAATAAATGTAGGAGAGCGAAGCCTTTGTATCGGGTATTTTGTATAAATATATTTTGAGCCTTTTCCGAGCGGGAAGGGATAAATAATATTTTAATGTAAACCTGATACAAGTGAAATTGGGACGTTTTAGGTCTTAACCTTTCTCGAGCCCTGTCTTCGTGAACGGGGTTCACTTAGCTTATAAGGCACTACCAACAGCTTTCAATTGCTCTAGTAAATGTTCATTCTTCCAAAAGACACCTAAAAGAACTAAGTTACTAAACAAAAACAACGTAAATATGGGTCCTAACTAAGACGATCACGCCAAAATATTACAAACGGCCTTTTATTAAACATTTAGAAAGATCAAAGCATATCTTATTTATCCTGGTCACATAAATATAATGTTATTGAAAAAGGGTAAATATATTATATATAATATATTTAATATTTAATATGTTTATTATGTTGTGAGAGAGGGGGGAAGCGTTACAACCGTCAGTCTCTACAGTCTTCCCTGACCAAGGTTACTGGAATGCACCCGAAACGTCGGGAATTAAAAATCAAAGAAATTAAATCGATAAAAACCGTAAAAGTAGTTTTAATCAATAAAATTATTGCTAAAAATTGTATTTATGAAAATAAAAACTTTTATATTTTAAAAATTCGGACATTTCAAATATTATCATTTTCATATGCTTTTACATACCCATGGCCGAAGTGTCTGTGAACGGTGGATATTCCCCATTACTTTATCTTCTTAAACATCATCATAATCAAATTTAGGAAATTGCCTCTTAAGCTTACATTCTCAAAGAATAATTTATTTTCTTAGAGATTGTAACCTGAATTGTCAGTAGGCCGCCATATAGCCCGAAGAATACAATACAAACAAAAAAGAATCGACAGCCGACGGGGCCAAAGGGTCTCGATTAGCAGCCTTGCACAAGAAAAAGTGACAAACAGATAAAATATACAGGTAATCGATGGTAGGCTTGTGTGTATTGCTGTGGTCCATGCTATACTATATCTACCACACTAACCGGTAATCCGAACTAAAAATAACCAAAGAACTGGGGCACCATAAATTGTATAGACTACTGAAATGTTAGGGTAAGAAGACCCACGAATCACATTTACGGACATTGAAAAGATTGTAGGAATTAGTTCGGGGAGCATATATACCATCCTACATCTACATCTTGGAGTGAAGAAGATTTGTTGTCGATGGATCCCTCGTTTTCTTTCCGAATGCGAAACACAGACTCGTGTAGATTGGTGCCATGAAATGCGTCTACGTTTTGAAAACAGGGCATCTACACGTATTTCAGAAATTGTTACTAGTGACGAGACATGGATCTATCAATATGATCCGGAAAATGGATCATGTACTCTGAATGGTATAATAGAGTTGCATTATCCAAAGCTTTTCATGCTGTGCGGAAGAGGAGACCAAAGACCGGGCTTCGGGGAATCATACTGCATCATGATTCATGATACGAAGACTTCATATACCTCCCTTCGAAAAAAAGTATTTATTGAGGAATCTGGTGTTGAAACTCTAAGTCACCCACCTTACAGCACTTACTTTGCTCCCTGTGATTTCTTTTTGTTCCCAAGAGTCAAGGAAAAAATTAAAGACAAGTTTTTTTCAGGCGCCGAAGAAGCCGTGGCTGCCTACGAAGAAGTGATTTCCAACCTTTCAGATAAATACTGGCAAAAATGTTTTCAGATTTGGTTTAGGCGAATGGAATTTTGTATAGAGCATGATGGAGAGTATTTTGAAAAAACGTAAAATAAATATTAATAGTATCTATAATACTTTTTGTATATCTCAAAACTTATTGAGTGTCCTACGTATATATGAGCAACGCAACGCATGAGCGATACGGCTGTGGCGGTCGATTGATAAGGGGCGGCCATTAGTCACAACAACACAGTAGCTACGTCACAGCAGTGGGCACTCTGCGGTTTGTCGTATGTCAGGATAGTTTCGTGTGCAAAAATTATAATTTAATGATTTTGCTTATTACTCACCGGATTTTTGATATTTATGCGATGTTGTTATACCAAGAGATAGGTCACTTAACGAGCTTTATTCCGGTACACATCACAAACACATCAGAGCACTTTAGACACCACTTTTCAGTAATTATTTACGGATATTGTACGTGAAATGTTTACTTTGCGAGTGCCGGACTCAGAGTTAAAAATGATAGATCATAAAAATGCTTACTGCCTCGATATGCCGGTGAAAAACACAGAAATGATTCAAATTACTATAGAAGGGACTAAAAGGATCAAAATGACTAACTGTATGCTTAAAGCCTCTAAATAAGCCTTTCAACTAGTCAGAAATGTTCACCGCGGTTATCATTCTGCATCAATCATAGCATGGTTGAGGGGTGACCAAGGTGACCAAGGAGTCATTTTACTTCATTTTTTGTTAAAAACAGTAAGTACGTCGGTCAAAATTAAACAGGTATCATTTGTAAAAAGACTTGTCCATCAGAATATGTTTTTACATCACTCCATTAATATGAATGAGTTTATGATAGTCATGTTACATCCAAAAACATAATCGTTTACGTTTCTACTTGATGGTGTAAAATTGACGCCAAATATTGTCTGTGGATTAAAAGTTAGCACTAAAGTGCCTTATTCCCAGTCCATCTAGCTGTACGTCCCTCCAAAGTCATGCATGACGCATTTTGTAGAATGATGTATGATGATGAGTAGGCTCTCAAAAATCACTTTTTAATAAACGATGGAATAAATTTAATTTGGGACTTGACGTTGTTATAATTTTTGGTTGACCCTAATTCCAAAGTGTTAGACTTCGTAGTAATTCAGCGGTTGCACAGATACAGTCGCAACCCCGTGAGTTGCGTCAGTTGAAATGCTGCCTTTAACCTCTCAAATGCTTTGATATTCCGTCAAAATTCAAGGGATCAAATATAGCCCCGCCCACCCACAGCATTTTAACTCATAAAGAGTTATATTTAGAGACTATTTTTCTATGAAGAAGTTTGACATTATAGGCTCAAAGTGAAATTTACTATCCTCTAATGCAATAAAACGTAGTTAGTCTATGGTTTTTTTATAATCTACGTTCATTTTGTACGCCTTTTTCGTGTGACGTGGCATTGTGTTGATTTTGGATTTTTCTAGTGTTCTACTATAGTGCTTTGTAACAAAATTGTTATAAAAGTTTTTGTTGTGAATATAATTTATCTTTTTACGTAAATAATTTCGAGTAATATATAGAAATAATTGTGATTTTTAAGCTGCCGACATCCGCTTAGTATGTTTTTTTTGTTCTCGAAATACAATAAAATCTTTTTGTAATGAAGTAAACTACCACTGTGTCCGAAGAAACAAAAGGGGAGATCTCTCACCAGGCAAGGTGTTCTGCCCGGGGAGCGGCCGACACTCCGTGTGATAGTTTGTTGGGGGGGGTTTTTTTTTTTTTTGTTGGCGCCCGGACTGGTTTTGGGTTTTTTGGGGGGGGGGGGGTTTTCGCGGCAGGGGGGTGGGCCCTGTGTGCTGTTTCTTTTTAGTTTTGTTGTTTTGGGGGGCTCCAAGCCCGGGGCGGTCGGGGTTGCGGGGCGGCTTCCGTTTTTTGGGGGTTTTTTTTTGGCCAAATGGTGGGTGCCTGGGGTTTGGGGGGGTTGCCTCGGAGATGTTCTATATATACTGTTTACGATTCGAAACTTTTGATAGCGCGATTTAGGCTTCGTTGTGTTTCGCTTTTGGCGCGACGACAGCGCCGCCACATCACCCCCCTGGTCAGACCGAAGGTCGACAGTGCAGTCCGACTGCCGGTACGTCATTAATGCCGGTGGGGAATGCATGCTGTGTGCGTAAGGGCACACTTGCCCTTACGCACTACGTGTCACTACACCGGTGCGAATTATATGCCGATGTGTAATGCATGCCGTACTATGCATTGGCAAGTTATGCCGGTGATAACGATGTGCCGGAGCAAGTGCCAGAAGTCTGCCTTATAAATCTGCGGTAAGTCGAGATGAAGAAAAGTTGGACTGGCTTGCAGAAACTGAAGACTGCAGAAGACGTTTTTCAGTAGTGAATGGTAGGGGTTCTTGAGGATAATGACGAAAACTTGAAGTTGTAGTTTCCGAAGGTTGGTAGTTGCGTGTTCAGATCACGTCGGGTAGTCACCATTATGGCCGTAGAGTTGTTTAGTGCGGCTGATGTGATCGAGCTGTTCATGAGCTTTCTTCTATAAAAATTTGGCAAACTTTGACTTTTAATAACTGAATTATTTATTTCACTTCGTTTCGTTTGTTTCTTAAGTTTACTCTACGTTGTTAATCCTAAATCACTTCTAGCCATAGAAGTAGTTAGTTTATTTGTCAATTTCTTACATCTCTCTAATAATTTTAAATTCCTGTACGTTCTTTCATTACTCTCTGTAGCTACGTTAATTTCTTATTTACCGTATTTGGCATATCTTTGATTGACGGCTGGTTCGGCGCACTCACTGTCCTCGGAGTAAATGGTGACGCTGCCTTCAAAGGTTATGGTGTAGTTCATTTCTCTGAAGGAGACTTCTATTTTTCACGTCCAATCACAACTATTATATTATTACATAAAATACTGATAAGTTTCAATTTAAAAAAAATCAGTTTTAGAAGCGTATTTGAAACGATACGAACCACAGAAGTCCGTGTTTTAAACAAAACAACAGAATTTTTAAATAACAAGAAAATAGGAACACTGAATTTAAAAAAAAGTACCGAAAAAGATAAGAATCCCTAACAACATGTTACAAAACCAATGACCAGCGGTTTTTCATATCACATCAGCCCACGCAGGCGATTCGCATGCAACACCGCTCCACAAAAGTTTCTATTGATTGATCTATTTTTTATTGCACATACGCAACACCTTTAAAGAACGCATGATTGGCATAAAGTACTTAACATAACTTTCACACACTGATTTATTTTCAATATCTAGTGCCTGTCTAAGTTAGCAGTCATCCGCAGGGGCCGCCATTGCGGCTGCCAATCATGCTAGGGCTGCCAATATCAGAAGTCCTCGAATAGCACGGCGTCCCGGGGCACGACTTCTGTTTATACCACAAGAGAATTTGGTATAGATTTTATAATGCCAAACTTCTTCACAGAAAAGTAGTCTCTAAATATAAGTTTTAATGGTTTTAAATGCTGCGGGTGGGTGCGGTCGCATGCGAGCGCTCGGGATTTGGCAGGCGAATGTGACTGCATGTGAATTTTATGGGAATTGAAGGGTTAAACGATGAAAAGATAATTTTGAGGAAATCTATGTTATCAATTGTTATTGATGATTAAGGATTTTCCCTAGCATTGGAAAACTGTAACAGCCCCCAGATTTAAAGTAAACTATACTCTTAAAAGTGAAGTGATGTCTAAGTTAATGAAATGTGAGTCAGCGAATTGGAAGAGAGAGTCTCGTGTCAACGTTTTAGGGTTTAATTCAGTGTCATTTTTTGCGCGAGTTTTATTTTCCCTATTGCATAGCTTCTATCGCAGGCCTTGAGCGCGGGGGACCGAATCCAGAAATTCCGTAACGAAAAAACCTCACGCTCCCCACTCCGACATGCACGGAGGTGTTGGGTGGCTTGAAGGCCGTGCATTGTCTAACGTCGTTTCTTTTCGGCAGTCTTCGACACGGTGTTTGTGTGCGTGCAACTAGACGTATTGTACGACTCTACGAAGCTCGCACGAATCGAGACGAGCTGCTCCGAAATCGGACGAATACATAAGCAGCTGTTTATGAGAAAGTATATAGGTGTATAGATATTTATGTACAACAGTGAATAGCTGTACTTGTAAAATTTGTGTATAAAGTGTTTTGAATATGAATGAACAAAGTGCATTTATTATTTATTTATTTAATAAAAGAAAAAAAATTGTTTTCTTATCGGTCACCACGCTCAAAAAGTGTAACTTGAATTAATATCAAAGAAAAATAAATACTGCATAAATAAAATAATATTTTTCACCTTACATCTCACCAGTCGAGAAGATCTGCCCTTCTAAGATTCGTGTATCAAAAAATTATTTGGCATAATGGATGAAGACAACTCCATTTGATACGACAAGTCCATTAAAGAGGTAGAAACAAACCAAAATAAACTAGCCCTACTGATGAAGAAAAATATATTAGTCACTACTTTTTCGCTTAGATCTTTTAATGAAACTCTGTGAAAAGTTAAACTAAATGGAAAAAGTCTGAAAAATCAAATTGATGAACTGTCCCAAGATATTTTAAATCTGACTTACATTTTAAGTAAATTAGGTACTAGGTCTCGCATGCTGGAATTAGCTTTCATGATAGAAAATAACCTCCTAGTATTGTCCTTCAAAGTTGGAGACATAATTACCGCTATCATGTTTAGCAAATCTAAAGTCCTGTATTCCACTATCATTTAACTATATACCACCTATACTATAATTTTACCCCGAATTGGTCCATAATTTCAGATTCTTAATCGAATCTAAGCCACTTCCAGTTCCTTTAAACCTCGATAACATGGACACTATTTTATCCATAAACACTCACGCCTGTCACCCAGAGGGGTAGGCGGAGACTACAGATTTCCATTTCGCACGATCCTGACACACCTCTCTCGCCTCCTTCACATCCATACACCTACGCATACATGCCCGTCGGTTAAGGGTACTCCTAATTTGGCCCGTTTCCAATAAATCGCTATTTTATATATATCAGAAATATATCTAGTTACTTCCTTAATGAAAAAAAAAATAAAATGGAGACCTATTCGACAATAATTCGATCCTCCAAATATATTGGTATAAGCAGAGACAGGTTAATGTACCGTAAGTTATATAATCTGGATTATTTAAATGAATAATGTCCGCGACGCCTTCCTTTGAAACGGAAATTATTAAAAAAATTACTTACCTCAATACGTTAGTTAGTTATGTAACGTTAGTCGTTTTAGCATCTGGCAGCCACTACGCTATTATAACAGATGGTTATTTGTAATGTCAGAAAAAACTAAAATAAGTATTGAATGAACTCCAAATCTACTGCTATAGAATTTATTGGAAATGGTAAATTGTACTTACGTTCTCAATGTGTTGCCTATTGCAAGGAAACTTGTTTTAACCCCGCGTGAAAATTTTGATGTTCAACTGAAAACTATTGTATCTAATTTTAATATTTGAAATGATTCTTGTTTTAATACTGTATCGTATAATATAATTGTATCAAACTTACTTATAATTAACCTTAATAATGTTAACTTAGATTCCTTAGCTAATGATGATCCTGAGATCCTGAAAAGCCTTAACAATATAATTAAAAAACCACGTGTTATTTTATATTAAAATACTATTCAGTTTTCACAATTGTAACTATAATTTTTATTATGTGCTTTGTTATCTATAAGGAGTATGAAACTAACATTCACAAAAAAATTAAATCTAGGGAAAATAATTTTTAAATTATGCAAAGATTATTCTTTTTATGAATTTATTAATTGTGCAGTAACATTTTCTTATATTCTAAAGAACTCACGGTAAATCAGCAAGTAATTCGCTTGTTTAAGTATCATAACATCATAATATTTATCAAAAATTATATTAGCATTGTAATAATTGGTGTCATCATTACAATGCTAATATAATTTTTCCGCTGTATACCCTAATGATTGGTACTCGCAAAACTATATCCTCTATATCCCCTAATGAGAATACTCGCGAATATACTGCAATACTTATTGCAGTATATTCGCGATTCAGCGGATATAGTACTGCGATTTATTTACGAGGCCCTGTCAATAAGGGCTACAGAGGATACAGTGTTGCGGTCTATTCTCAAGTACTGTATTCACTCTGTCCCCTAATGACCCTAGGTCATTGGTGACAGAGTGAATACAGTGTTGGGGTTTATTCACGAGTCCCTATCATTAGGGGATACAGTATATAATATATAATATTGGTGTCTTTGATATAGCATTGTATTTGAATTTAAGGTTTTGGATCTCACGAGACACCAACGTGAGCCCTTGAGTCGTTTAAATTCATCATTTGGTTTATTTCGAGTATCTTCCGTTCTTATAGTCTTCGTAGTTCTTGCATTCGTTACTATTTACCGTGTGAACTTAAACTAGATTGTTTTGGTAACGCCTTGGAAATAGTCTTTGACTATTTTGATCTCTAAAGCGGTTATTTATTGAATTCTAGCTTTCTAAATTCATTCATAGTGTGGCCCACGTTTTTCCACACACTATGGGACCTAAAATAGATGACTTTTGACTATATGTCTCTTTCGATCAACCCTGTTGTGTAGGGTTTCGGTTCTATCAAAATTGAAGCTGAGGCCAACGTCCTTGAATAGGTGAATTAATATTGGTTGGTTATGGTTAGATGTGGTCTGCAATATTTTTTCTTCGGATACGGCAAAGCCAATGTCTCCATTTATAGTTTCAAGGTCACGACATCTGACAACAGTTGACAATCGAGAACTTAAGCCACTGGTAAATGTATACAATGATAGTCTTGCATTGCAGCGACACGGCCCTTTAGTTTTCCTTTCTTTTTTGTGGGTATTGAAATATTGATTTCAGTAAATAGTTGAAACGGGTAAGTCTCTCCGCGTAGTGCGAATTGGTTGACTGTTTTGATATTCATTAGACAACAATTTTGGAGTTCCGAGAGTAGTGCAGGGTAATGTTTTTTTCTCGCCAAATTGATTTTTGGGAAATTCTTCTAACTGTTGCCAGTTCTCGCATTCTTTAATACAACACACACTTTTTGCATATTTTGGCTTTCAAGTTGGCTTAAGATATATTTTAATATTATGTATTGTTAAGATAACCACGCCGGGCTCATTGCATTTTTGCAATCATTTAAAAAAAGCATTAAGTTCATGTCAATTTCTTTTATTTCTTAAGACATAGTACTTGATTCGTCTTTAGGCATAGCGAGTTAGTCAAAACAAAGATAATGCGAGAGGTACGGAGTTGTGATTAAAAAAAAATGTTACACTATTCTGAGAACTGAATGATAAAATAAATAGAACAATAAATGATTAACTGAATGTTAATAAGTTTAATTATAATAAATAAAGATGTAAAATAAATATTAATAATAAAAATGTATCCGGATGCTAATACTTTGAAAGTCGAATTGAATTGGTACTTTGCGATGAAACATTAAACTTTAAATCACTGACACTATTTTACAAAACAGATAGCTTTGATGTAGAATGAGCGTACATACAATTTCACTCCTACTACGATGGCAACACGGATCTTTTTGTAGCCAGGCGGGATCACCTAAGGTGAGTGATAGATGTTCGCAGTATGCCCAATAAGGCGCCTGAAGGTCTAATAAGACCAGCAGGATATAGCAGTGTTAAACCCAGATAAACAGTGGCACGGAGGTGAGCTTAGATTTTAGCACTTTTTTACTGTCACAATCATACGTAGGTATGGTATTTCTTTTATATATTTTTTATTGAATTGAATTGATGCGAGTATTTTTACCCTCTTTACTGGAAATGGGTTTCTTATCTCTTCT